CCAGACACAGGCTCTGTATTCAAGATTCATTAAGTATCCCAACTAAGCTGCTGTTTTTTAGCAACAGAACTTTCAGTTGACTAGTCTCTCCCAATTAAAATTGCAAGCAAAAAGAAAACCATTCTACGAACCAAAGAGGTGTTACGGATGCTTGATTTTGTAGTCAAGCCTACATTTTGCATTCCCGCCGAGTAACAAATTTCCACAGACGCAATAGCTTCTAATAAACGGCGTGCTTCAGACTGCATTAATACACCGTGGTTTTGCGGTGCAAACTAATATTCATTCACGTGTTGTCAGAATTGCCCTTTTCAAACAAGTCAGTGAAATATTGTGGGCATAATGACATCTATTATTTGATAAACTGATTTTAGTCACCAAACTGATCAGCCATTTTTCAAAATTAGGATTGGATACTTTGTGTATGGTGACGTTATGCATGAAGTGCACAAAAAACGCCCCAGTCAATGGAAAGAAATAAGTCTATTTGTGTAATTTCAGGGAGTTAGCATCTGCATGAAATGGATATTAATAACTTTGCGGAAATGTAGTTTGCATGATGAAAGTTTCCGGACAAGAGGCTGTGTTTCCGGAAATAAAAATTTAGAATAATCTTATGGAAATATTATAACATTGTACATCTTCAGGACTCTCAAACAACAAGCACCGAAGTAAGTTGTAGTTTAACCAAACATTGAAATTCGTCATAATTCGTTCAAAATACAAATTGCACATGCACAGCTTCTTGAGTATAACACCTATGTACATGAGAGGAAGCAAGCCCACTGAGCGTGGTTTCACGTTAAAATGCATTAGCCGGACAACGCGCATCAGTAAATAATATTTAACTTGCAGTATGCACAGCACGTATTTGTATTTGAGATGTTACTTCAAAAAAACGCTTTTGTGTGTCTATTCCTTCTAAATTTGTCAGCGTATTACTGATGGCTTCACATACTTATAGCTTAATATCTGTTCCATTAAGAATACTGATATACATGTACAAAGGGCCAGTAAATAAATAGTTTTTTTCCACACGGGAAAGTAATAATTGCCCAGTTCATTATTAGACATTTTTCAAAGTGGACGAAGTTGCATAAATTGGTCGGTTTAACCTCCGAAATACTAAGGCCGTGAAATATTTTCAAAAGTTCATCTCTTTCTTTGGAGATTCTTCTATGTATTTAGGGTAAACCATCGGATAGACAAACAGACACATTTAAACCTGGAACACAGCCCAAAACGCAAAATTAACAGCATGGATTTTCTCTTTTTCTCGAAATTTGCTTTCACAAATCCAATAAAGCACCTATGCTATCGTACAAAGTAAACATGATTCAACGTGAATACCTCGAATTTTACTCGTGGCGAATTCGTTTGTCAATCAATTAGCCCACCTCTAGCGTCTGGTTGATTGGTACATATCGCACATTTCTGAGGTAGTCTGAATACTACTAAGAGTGAAACATGAGAATTTACTGATCTACTATTTTCGATAACATCTACACCATTTTACTTATAATAAATATTTTCAGAACATCTTAGAATAAAGTAACCAAGTACGAACAGATGTTTGTGGCCTTAAAGAATTGCAAATGTCTGCAAAATAGATCAAGTAACTTCTGAATAAACATTGCCTTCAGTGACTTTAAAAGGTCTTAAAGTAAAGTGATTTGGCTAGCAATTAAGTTTGGCGATTTTCAGAAACATTTTCTTGAAAACTGGAGCTAAACATTTGCCGACTTGCATGACATCCAAGAACTTTTTGGAAGTGCGTTCTTCATTTGCCATTCATTTTTATTCTACCATATTTTAGGAGAAATATTTGCGTGTACCGCCTTGGTTCGCGGAAATTGGTCATGTCAAAGCGGTAAGTTAACTTGATGGGAGCAAAGCTACGTATTTGTGTACCACCAATTTATGCATTTAAATCACTTTGCCGTTCACCTTAGTCAGACATCCGCAAACTATCAGCGTAGAACATGGTTCTAACGTTTAATATATTTTTATCCAGGCATAGGTGGGTAAAATTACAGCGATGCCCTGACTTTGAAGACTGCAAACCACTTTGTCACCCTGCTTCCTACGCTGTCTCTAAGGCGCAACTAGCCAGGGCTGTCCTTAAGTGCGACCGTATTTAATACTGGAGCTGAATTTTACATCGCTGACCTTTTGAACTGTGCCCTACGTGGGGATCTTAAACTTTTAACTCCTGGTTCGTCATAGTCTTTAGCGTACATTGTTGGCTGGTTAATCGAGGTTGGCATACAAAGTAACACTCCAAACAACATTATTAGTTATTCACAAACGTTTTGTTGGGAGCATATAGTTCAATTTAATGTCGTTGATACATTAAGACTAGGTAACTCGTTAATGCTGCCTAACTTTAGACGGACCGAATGGCACAAAGTAAAACGATTTGCTGGCTACGAACGAAGTAAATATTTACACAGTTGGTGATAACACAATATTTCTCAAGGAATTATGTCATTAAAATCACGTGTTCCAATTAGACAACGTTTTCTCAGATTTAAGTATAAACGCATGACCGCTGGGCTAGCCCTCAGAACTAAGGCCAACATTAATCTCATGAGATTAAAAGCAGACCTGAGAACATCCGTGTATATTTGGTTTACAAGACAGTATATTTTTGATTGCAGCGTCTATTATCAGGAATTCATACAATTCACTTTAAGGTGCAGCAGTTTACCTGTATGCAAAACGTGGTAATAAGCCTATAACCAAACTCACTAGGCTATTGTCTGTTAGGGAAGAGAAAAGCATGTTTTTCGTATGCTGTAACTACACCCTTCTGTCATAGTCTTTGACAAGACAATCAAGTTAACTGCACAAATATGCAACTATAATTCACCTGCGCCATTGCCCAAATTGAAAACAATTTTTTTCACATTAGGATAAAAGAATTTTCTAATAAGTGCCCCATTGGTTTTTCTGTACTTCGTAATCTGACAGCCGGAAAAGGATTTCGGCATTTTTTAGTATGTTGCTGGCTATTTACTTTGCCCTTTTTACTTTCAGTACCACAGTAATGGAGTTGCACAGCTCATTGTATTAACTCATTTATTGTTGACAGATATCCAAACCTTCCCCTATGAGGTCATCCGTGCATCCTCGCTTCTAAATCTACCTCTCACAAGTTCTTCGTAACCAACGCCTTTCGCAATTCATTCAACCACAAGTTGAGATTTCATTGACTGCTTTGACCCGTTCGGCCGAGTCATTTCCTTTCCATCCATGGTCATGTACTTTGACGAAAAACGTCCGCCCAGTACTCTTAAAAAACGTTTTTGAGAGACGTCGCATCCAAGCACACCTTGAAGCTTCAGAAAGCTGAGTGTTAATGTTATAAGTGCCACTGGTGTGACGACTAAGCTTCCTCCACTCAGGCTGAATCTGACGAGTCCACGCATGATCGCCGTGGTCTGGGCAGAAGGCAGTAACAAACTGGAATCAAGAAGGCCTGCTTAACTACCCACCAGATGTTTTCTCAGACTAACCTTGGGATGGAGACGGAGAGCTCATTAATTTTTTGTGCCACCTTGTGTGCATAACTTTACAACCACACCCTGCAGTCTACCTTATATGTTCTTGTTAATAATTGCAAAGCGTTTTCCGCGAGTGAGTTATTTAATGAACTATTTGACAATTTGTGTTATGACGACACAAAACTTGAGAGCCATAGAGTGAGAAAACATATCGTTAATTCACCTGTTACTTTGAGTTGCTTTGTATGCTTAAATTAGTGCACGAGGAAAAATGCTAATTTGGGAGTCAGTACAAAAGCATAAATAGATGAAAGGCCTATTAACGCCCACCTCGATAGCAACGGATGCAGAATCTAAAAAAATGGTAAATTTTTCCGATTTCACTTTTTCAGTTAACGTTGAACCACATAGCGTTGAGGTGAAATGCACGAATTGATTTTAAGTGCCGTACATATGTGTGGACGCATTTAAGGCTTGGAAAACCCCTGTTGATCTGTCCTCGTGGACGCCTCACAAATTTCCTTCAGTTGACTTGGTGACCTTTTTGTGCAGTGATGAAACCGTGGGAGAGGTCCTTGCAAGCCTTGATTTAATTATACTCTGTAGAATTGTTCACATGAATTTCCTGTGAAATTAACTCAAACAGTTTCTAGCAGATAAACAAACAAACAAACGTTTTTTCGGTGATAAGGTAAAACCAGAGGTTGCATTATTAATGTGAGACGGCCAATGTCGGTAATATCCCACTGTCGTACACTTTCAGCAGTGTGATGTCTACAGTCAAGGAGGAGATAATTTAGCTTTGAGGGCGTACCACAGATTTATCGCCCTTGTGGACTTGGTCATCTGATTATCAGTAGCCGCAATAACTGGTGGAGTTTAAAATAAACCAGATGGTTTAGTTGAACTGCAAAAGACGAAGTGCTGCTTCATTTGGTCTGAAGTCATGTTTTGTAAGATACAAGCAGTAAATGAGCAATTTTAGCTTTCCTAGTCCCTATTTTCTTTCAAAAACACTACATGTTATACTTTTAACAAACTTTGCCGTGCTAATCAAGGCCGATTTTCCTAACCAAGTCTTCGCTGGAACTTGGCACAGCTTAACTAAATGAAGCAGCCTGTTGATTCGGTGTTTGGATGTTCTAGCTAGACTCAAATAATCGTAATTGATGATATTAGCTAAAATGAGGCATTTGAAAAGTGACATGCGTTTTAACTTGGACGCAAACACATATTACATTGAGTTAGCACACTTAACAAAATGGCCATGCTAGTAGCTACACGCCCTACAGCCTGCAACATTAACAGATTGCAAGGTCATAGGTATGTCTTGACTTCACGCTTAGGGTTAATCTGTCTACAAAATATTGCCAAACGCGGCTAAGTATTACCAGGGTCAGTTAGACACTTGGCTTCGAAAATATGTTGGATTGCTATTCAAATTTAGCGATCATCGATTTTTTGCTCTATAAACACGGTCTCAGACACCCAGCAATGAATTTGCTCTGGCTCATTCGACTACTAATCGTCCTGGATTATATTTTGTGTTGCGCTGGCACCGACTCGATCGCCTACTGCCTTGCCGAGTCGGCCTGGGGACCGTGGCGGTGTCCGGGTGTGTCCGATCGCTGCACCGCCCCGATAGCCACGCGCTACAAGTGTCCGGAAGGGGACTGTGTTGCGGGAAGTCAGTGCACCTCGATACAGGGCTTTAAGGTAGCTTTGGTTGTGTGGTTTATACAAATGGGGGCTTTAATTTAAAAAAATCAGTGCAAGGGGTACATTTACACCAACTTGTGGTTCATGTTCTTAATGTCCCGTGTAATTTTGCAACATTGATTTAGGCCAGGATGTTAAATACATTGCATTTCATGGCTATTCACCGTTTTAAAGGAGGCGAATTTCTACAACTGCACACACTTCGCCAGCATGAACAATTTCATCGTGTGACAGTTGGCAATATTTTTTTAAATATGCACGTGATTTTGTTAAGTAGATTAGTAACAAATAATTTTAAAAAAAGATTAAAGGAATCAAATCGCTGTTTCAAAAGATTTGTTTTTTCTTACAGCGGAATTACGCAAACCCAGAAGTCGTCTCAATTAGCTCTTATCAGGCAAAAGCAACTGATGGAGTAGGACGATTAGAAAAAATTGCAGCAAATTTAAATTTTAGAGCACAAATTTGTTTTAGATCACCCAGAAATAATAACGTGAACTAAAAATACTGAAATTTTCTGAAGTGGATAAAGTAGAAAAATAATTACTCTTTGTGTGGGACATTAAACTCGCTTCTGTAAGTCACAAGCATTTACGACACAATATTGCTACGCAAAAACACCTTTAAACGACCTTCCCATTGCGATTTGGCACAATGGTAATGCACCTTACAATGAAAATCTTGACTTCACTATAATTTGACAGCATCTGTCAAATTTAAATGTAGCTAACCCCAGAGGAGGTCAATAACACAAAATTTGTATCTATTTAATCCAGTTTTGTGTATGTTTACCCCAAATATAAAGTCAAAATAACAGAAACAAAAGAATTATAAGGTTTTTAATTACTGGTCGAATCCGAGTAAAAGCATTTGAATTAGTGTGCACAAACGCGCCAATCATTTGACACGTTTGGTTATTAAGACAGTCAAATTGCCTTACATAGTTACAGAAAAGCTCTCCTTTGCTGGCGAGGCAATTTTTGGGTTCACACCATCAAGTCCACAAAAAAGTGATGCCTTTGATCTAAAATGTCACCCAGTAAAAAAGACCACCAATGTGGCGTTCAGTCAGACGGCCCCAATGTTCGCTGGCGTATTTTACCAAATCTTGCATCTTTCCTGCCTGACTTAAGTGTTTTGCGTAAAGCATTGTAGTATTACCTCATTCTAAGGAAGTGGAATACACTTTAACTAGTCCCGTTGGGCAGCGCTCATAAATAACGGCATTTTAAATATCAATTTCGGCACATATTTGGTTACGTTCTAATCGTTATTGAACAGGTTGAATTGATTTTTAAATTTAGTTAGTAAAACCATCATTCAAATGCACCTTGGAGTGAGCAGTTCTTAGTTTATTAGTGAGGATCCGTGTTAAACACGAGCTCCTATCACCTGCAACTTGGGTCAGTTATTAGGTCATGGTTCTTCGTTGATTTTTTTACAAATACCTAAACAGGACAACGACCTTTGCACCTCAACATGATTAAATTTTAGATTAAAATAACTATGGTCGTGTCTGGTACAAGGGTCTGACACTGGTTTACTACTAGGCCGTCAAATTGGAAACTAATTAAGACCTTCCTTTCACATTATCCATCAAACTAAGAAGACGTGCACACCTGTGTTAGGGCTGGTTTCACCTTGGAATGCAACAGGACTCGGCCATAGGCTCTGACTGTGTTTTAAATGGCGCAGCCAAAGTAGTGCTGCTGCCTTCATTTACTGACTCATGAAATTGTTTGATGAGGTTAATGATCTAGGACAAAAAGCCTCCGCTTAGTTTTAGGTGGAAAAGATAACCGAATGTCAATGAGTTGGTAATTCACCAAATTATCACATGTTTATTGACATTGCAGGCAGTCATTTCACTTAATTACAGATTTGCAGTTCAACAGTTGCAGTAATTGAGGTGTCGATTCCTTCTGTAAGTGCCATCTTTATGGCACATTAACCATACAGAGAAAAGTGGCAAATAGGACTAAGGCAGTAAATTATACCGGTCGCAGAGTAGAAGTAACAATAATTAGTGCGACAAAACTTTTCCCCTCCCAAATAACCTAAAGAGCAATTTCCTCAACGAATAAATTGTGTCTGATTTGTCTGTTCAGATTGAGTATATACTGACAATTATTTTATTTCCATGAAGCAGCCATGATCCACCGTATGTGAAGTCAGGAATTTCTACAAGATGTTCATTTTGCTAGAAATATTTCTAAAAATTTTTTGTGGATCAATTTACAGTTGTAACAGCGAAATCAGCAGCCAGGTCAAACAGGCTGTGCTCTACTCCTGGTGGTAATTGGATTAAACTGCTTCTGTCTGTTGGGTTATTCAGCAAGGCTGACTAGGCACATTTTGTGACCAGTTTCTTGGTAATTTTTATTCAGTACAAACAGCGAAGCACGCCAGACAAACGAATCAATTTCTACACTTTAGTAGCGCCCATAAATAAGTCTGCTGGCGACTTGTTTAAGAAATATGTGAACCATAAAATACGCCCAAAGCATGCTTATTAATTGACTTTAACTTCTACTTTAATGGACCAAGTATTTAACTTACATTTTTAAGGACTGCCATACGTAATCCTCAGGCGCTAGTATAATATACATCTGCTTGTGGGTACACATGCGAGAACTGTCCGCTGCCCCTTTCTTTCCCTAATTGCAGCGATTCTCACGATTAAATCCATTACCAGCGCTACATTTGCACATGTTTCGCGTATCACTGAATGTAGATTATTGATTCAGTGGCATTAAGCATTTGTAGTTTTTGGTAAAAAAATTAAGTGTAGATTGTGCTATTTAAACGTACCATAATGGCATTTTTTTGAAAAAATGGAACTTGAGGAGGTATGTAGGGTCCAGAAGAATTGGTCTGCCAAAATGTGACACTTCCATGATGGATTTTACAAGAAACAAGGGCAGTCTTGCTGGTTTAAAATCGGTTGGACACTAAGTAGAGGCAATAAAGTGGACAAATGAGCTAAATTGCGCCGCATTCCAAAGACATGCGTCAATAAGGAGAAATGCAGAGGATGCCGTTAGACAGGAAAGTGGAAAAGTGCAAAACATGGTGTCAAACTACACTTTCCTTTTGCGCACAAGTGTTGAAAGCGGAAGAAAATACAGAACGGTGTGAAATAAATTCACTACCTACCCACATTGTGTGTGTGACGCGGACTTAATACGGCTCCTTTGTAGCTCTGTCCCAACAAATCTGTGCAAACTAAAGCCTGGTTTCAACATAAGATGCAGTAGTTTAATTGACTAAAATCGTTTATTATAAACAAACTGCTGGATTCCGCATAAGTTGTTTATTTGAGTTAAGTTTGGCGTAAAGGTTCCTACTAGTACTCTAAGACCACTAGAAATAAATGTCATTCAGTTGACATCTCTACTGCTGTTTGGTACGTCTGCGAATCCTTAATGTTTTACGCTGTTTTAGCTCTTTTTATATCTAGAGGGACAAATGACATTCTACTGACAAGTTGTTAGACACATGTGTGAAATCATGCCATGCTTTCTGGTGTTTAGATACGGTGAACTGCAGATTTACAGAAGCAAACTCAATCTGTGCGCAATGTCTTAGAAAAACTTGCTATTTTTAAAACTTACTGACAACTGTCCAAGGCATTATTTCGACAAAACGACATTTCATTTTGTAATGAAAGACTTCCGCACATTCATCCATAAAAGAAGGACAGATATTGTGGCAAATTGTATCACTGTTCTCATGCAAAACCTATTTTGCAAACGAAACACCTTAGTGCAATGTATGGATTCTTAAATGTCAAGCACCAAAGACAGACGTTATGTTACCAAGGTTTCTTTATTAATTTTTTCACTTTAAATGGTTTTTAAATACCGAAGTTATTAGTGCAAGCAGAACTTTACTAAAAAACATCGTTGTTTAACGTACTCTCATTTACCCTAAACTTACTGCTCTATCAGATGGCGGCAGTTGCCCACTGTTTGCGAAATTTAAATAGTCCCGGTCTCACTAACTGTAGTACAGCTTCCTCGGCCTGCATATTTTTAATGTTAAAGTTGACATTGAAGAACATGCGGCACATTAATTGTTGTAAAGAAAACACTTTTTAATTATCATTTCTATACATCGTGTCAAGGGCTAATGGAATTAGTTAAATATGCACATACCGCTACTTTGCTCTGTTGTTAATCGTGTTCATTCCCACCCCTTAATCCGGTCGCTCCGCCTCCGACACAGGGTTCCCCCTTTCGCAGCAAGTCGCCAGCCGCGCGGATCCTCAACTCCCCCCCACACGGATTTATATCTTGGATTATCCTCGCACTTAGGCCTCAATGTTAGCCCATGTATGACTAGTGCATCCGAGGTATAAATATATATACCCCACATACGACACCAACGTGGTTGAGTTCTGAAGTAAACGATTGTGAGCACGTCCTCTCCGGTCTTTTTCCTCATCGCGGCTATCAGGGAATCGTAATCGGGCTAGGGGTAAATCAGTGGCCCCAGCATGGTTCAAGTCCACATGCTGGGCCGCACAACAGCTCTTTTATTCAATTAGAATTTCGCAACTTTCACTCTGTTCATGGCTCTAAATTTGCAATAACATTGTGTGTTTTATTTGGAAGTAGTTGTACACGTCTCTAAGGGATCCTTGCCTTTTCAGTTATTAACCTCCAAGTTAAATGGACTTAATTCTAAATGTAGAATTTTGCATTAATAACCACTGATGTCAATGTGTTCTTTTTAAGAGCCACAGAGATTAACAATTATTGGCTACTGCATGCTTTGTGAAAGATGACTTACTGGATTAAAGTTGATTACAACAATACGTATTACGGCGTCCACAATCGCAATCATGCACTGGGCACAAAAATCAAAATACAAAACACACCACGTGTCCGGTTTTAGAGCATTCCTGTTAGTCAAAAGTAACTGACAAGAGTCATTTGTGTTATTTTGTAAAGTTGGTTCACAGGCACATCGATGAATTTACACAGGAAGTTTGTTGCCCCAATTCAATGCAATTTTGCTACAAATTGAGAGGTCACTTGATAATTGAGCATGTTATTTAACCCTAGCTTCGACTACTTTGGAAATTCAAAGTTATTGACACAAAGACTACTAACTTACTTAGGAAACCAGGCCCTGCTTCGAAATCCTCTCCCGTGGGGAGTGTAAACCATATTGGGGTCAATGGACGTCCTGGTCCTCCTGCTCAGCTACCTGCGGCGTATCTGAACGAACGCGCTACCGGGCCTGTTCCGGTGTCTTCACGGCAAGCTCTCTAGCTGGAACCTGCGCAGACCCGTCCAGGGCGGCCGATGGCCTGGAAAAGCGCGACTGCCCCCTGAGACGCATCTGTCCGCGCATCGCTGGGGGCTGGGGCGAGTGGGGCGACTACTCGACCTGCGATGCGACTTGTGGCAGGGGCACCAGGAGGAGGATACGCCTGTGCAATCGTCCCCTGCCTCAAGGAGGTGGCGTTCCGTGTCAAGGTGTTGACACCCAGCAGGTAGGTTTAATCAGTTCGCATAACCTTCAACCTGGGAAAAAAACCTAGCATCCAATTGCATGAGATTTCGAAACTGAAGCGAATCCGGACTTCTTAAAGTTTTACATGAGAAGCCGAAATGTCAGCAGTTCGGTTGGAGGCCTTACAAATTCACAAAATTTACTGGAAAAAGTGTTCACGCTGGGTGTGGGTGAAGTACTCACAGATCGGTGGAAGCGCCGACTTAAAGCTTGCTTACTTTCGGTCGTCTCAAAATTTAGGGGCTAAATTAAAACGTCATTAAGGTAACCAGCGGAGAAACAGGTTTTTTTAAAAAAAATCGTCATTTTACGTATTGTCTGCCTTTCTGGACAGGAACAATATAAATTCGGTTTAAACCGAGTCCATAGGGGCAAAATAACAAATAGTTGACTGGATATTCTTCTCAACAAGACGTTAATCACTTCTTGAAGACATCCCAATTTACATTCCTTCAAGAGATCCTGGAATCCCTCTACTGATCTGTGCATTTACTCTTATGCTCGTGATCTTAAGAAATAATGCTTTGGAATAAAATGAAAGGTGATGGCTCAGACTTTTGAGAACAGACAAATTTTGCATTACCTGAATGCCTACAGTTACTTTAATGCGCGTCAGTTTTCTGTAGCCGTCAGAAATACCTAATAAGACACCATTAGATTTTTAGCAATTGTTTAGGGAAAGCTCATGTACCTTGACTCCTCAAGGTTTGTGCCTTATGAATATTTGCATTAGGCTCTTCATTGCTGTCGCAGGATTAAAATGACATTAAAGTAAAAAAAAATATTCAAGAAGATCACTCACACTTCAGATATTAACACAAATGTTCTGACACCTAATTACCAAGTATTTGTATGCAAGTGCACGTGCTATCCACGAAATCTCCCCAACCTCGCAGCCAGATGATGCTCTGTCTTCTCCCTTTTTCAGGAAAACAATCTCGGTGTGTTGGCTAGGCTTTGAGGCGTGCATATATTTGTAGCGGTGTTAGGTGCCGAGAGTTAGACACGTTCCACAGCGGTTTAAGGTTCATTATGCATGCATCATTGTGCAAACCCTCATGGCAATGATGGAAACAAGCGTACAGGTTCTCTGTCTAGACGCTTGGCTTGTGCATGCTTTGGCCCAAACAAAAAGTGCATTTAAGCCCCGTGAAAGCACCGATGCCTTAGAAGTACTTTTTCTTCTGTGGGTATTAAACCTGGGGATTCGTTTGTCATTTTTTTAAAGAAAAATTCGAAAGCGTTCTCTCCAAAGTTTTCTGCAATTCACGAAGCCGCAGTAATATAGGAAGGAAGTTTTAAGTTGGGATTGATCGGCAAACAGGTAGGAAATACTTTATGTATTGATGAAGCAAGTACCAATTCTAAGTGTGGCTAATTTTTTCTCCCACACAAGAAGTGCTGGTTATGCTGGTGATCAACCTACTTTTATTCAAAGTACATGTTTAGTCAGAAAGTTCGTTGGTTGGATAAGACAAATGACAAAATTGTAGTTAAACAACTCAAAATTTAAAGGTCTTTAGATGTGGCTGTTTCAGATACACCTGGACCAATCGTAGATAACGCCTCCTTTCAAAGACGTTGACGCGTTGACAGAATGACCAACATTTTACAGCTTAGTAGCAATTATTTTTTTTAAAAAATAGGCTTTTTCTGTTAGCCGTCCTAAATTATACGGGGTTTAAAAGCCACGAGCTCAGAAAAGAGAATCATGATTCCAGGGTACAGAATTGAATTTGTTAGCAGTAAGAACTTATACCAAGATTATGCTGCCATGTATTCTGTATTTTTTTAAGTCAATATTCAGGTAATGTTCGTTCCTACCATAACAACCGCCAATCCCATAGACGCACCTGCTTCCTATTTGTCCTCTGTCCCTTTAAACATCAGTACATGCACATTCTGTTTTAAAATGCGCAGAGAATTCCAACGGAACACTTAAACGATTTCTACCACATTTTTATCCCGATTAACTCGAAAACACACAAAAATGAGATCCAGTTGATCACCTCCGAATCAATAGTCAGGTCGTTCTCGGGTCAAGGCGATGCAAGCAATAAACAATGTATCCCCTTGAGAACATTTCTGGGGAAGCCAATTTCCAAATCAACGCCGGGACATTTGACTTAATGCCAACGCCGGAGTGGTTTAATAGAGTAAATGTTTCTGGCTAAGGTCGAATAAATGGCATTAAGCGCGATTCGTGAGCCAGAGCTTTCGACATAACTCAATTCATAGAAAGTAATGAACTTCCAATTAAATTTTTCGTGTTTTCTGCAGCTCAGCTGTTTTGATAATGGTGTTTTGAAAATTGCGGTATTTCTACCAGGTAGTTCTTCTCTCTAACTGCGTCATTAAACATTTTTTGTATGTGTGTCCTAAGCATCGTTTGTGTATATGCCTATCACCTGATCTTAACTGACAAGTAAGGCGTTCTTTAAAGGTTAAAAAGTGGCTAATGGGAACCAAATTAAACCCAAAAACCTTTCAGACTAAGTCGTTATTAGATATAAATTGCATAGCTTAATTACTCCCAGAATAAAATTTTAAGGAATGCATAGATCAACCAACAGAGTCCCTTTTATGTACAAGTCAAAAGCAATGCCATGCTGCATTACAGAGTAACTACGTTGAAGTAGGCAAAGTTATTACGATTTACTATTGGCTTTAATAAGCAGACTCCTCAAAGGAAGTGAGTGATCAGAGAGCAATTAAAGCCTTGGCAACGTATCACATTCAAGTAATGCCTTTCAGTAACCTGCTGCGAGGTGCCACCGCATTGCCGAAATGATAATGCGCTTCAGCAGTACCCTCACATTTTTAATGACACATGCACATTTCATTTCCTAAATGTTCACTTTCATTGACTAAAATTGAATAGTTGAACTTTTTTACATGTTGAAGACATGATATGATCAAACGTCAAGAGAAGCAATATTCCTGTTACATGCAATTTCTAGAAGTATTTTAGGTTTGATAACAGAGTACTTATCTTAGTCATTTGTTTATTTGCGATATAACCCTTTTTTCTCAACCTGAATTCGTCTACATCTGAATTCCCCTCAAAAGTAAGTCTGCAAATTTCTTCGGCGGCGCTTAAATTCTTGCTGCTTTCTTTTTCAAAATTCGGAAAAAAAAACGATCATCGTCCTTAAGGTATTGTGATTGCATTGAAATTTTGACACCACGATTGCCGTCTACGCTGTGAAACTAGACAGCCTTTATTGGCAATGGCAATCGCAGAATTGGTACTTGATGATGGGTGGCGTTTGAATCGTGCTCGTTAACCAATATTGAAGACTAAATTTTTGCCTATTTAGATAAAAGACACTGCAGAAAAAAACAAAGAACACCTCAATATAAGCGTAACCGTGCAGTCAATGTGTGCTTACTCTTTAGTGAAACAGCAGATGTTGAAATAATCAAGCAACTACTTGCTTGGTACGCAAACATTTGCATCCTAAGTAGCTGACATCCTAGTGGTATCGGTTCGGCTGTCTTGCGCGTTATAAATTTGCGGGAAAAACTCGAGCATCACGTATACAAGAAAAAATAATTATTGACTAAAAACGGAACACCGCATTGTCTTTGTGAAGCCTTTTTACGAACCAGACAGCGGAAGTGAAACACACTGACGCCTTCAAGGGAACCTCAAACGAACAGCACAAAGTCTTATTCATCGCTGCTAATTTACAAATTGTTAAAAGTTTTTTCCAGAACCTAAAAAATCATCGTTTGTGTGTAACAGTCAAAGCCAGTAGACTGTTAACTTTCACAGGACGAGTTTCGCGCATTGTGAATCAACCGTAAAGTGCTGACACCAAATCGCCCACGACTCCACGCATTGAAGGAAGAAGACTTTGAGCGTCGTTGAAAAAATAGCCCAAATCTATCTTTCAGCAGCTTCTAGACAAAGTGTTCGGCGTCCTGTAAAACTCAGTTTACGGGCCAAAGAGAGGAGATCGCTGTTAAATAATTAACAAAGACTTGTGCCAGCTTGCGTGCTATTCTGTAGATCCTAAGAATTCCGAAAAACGCGGTTGTCATTTTGAGCCCTTTTGTTTCATGCACATTTTGCTTAAAAATGTGCAACTTAAATATCCTTCGGACTAAGAATTTTTGACCGGCGGATTCTTTTTGTCTTAATCTGCATAAGGATAAATTTGATTTAACGGTAAAAGCGACTTGCAAAAAGGAACGGGCTCCTCACAGCATCTATTCTAATAGTGTTACGAATGAATAATACCATCCGCATTGAGCTGAGTATTTGATAACCAGAAAGGTCACTTATTCTTAAAAGTGAAATTTTTAATACGATATGACGATTATTTTTTAACTTTGAAGTCTTTATGTCTCCAAAAATTGTCCCCTTTAGTATTGTACCATTGACGATTATAAGCCTCAAGACATACTAATTACTTTTCCAACTAATTATCCTAGCTTTTTATGATTATCCACCAAAGCATTAAACGAACACCTACGTTGACAAGATGTGCGAATAACATTGAAGAGAGCACGAAAATATGACTTACGTTGACTTTGACTTTGCTTGTCTTTCAAAAAAATATGAATGTACACCTATGTAGTTCTAGAAACTTCGCTCCTTTATACCAGACACGACACATCAAACCTGTCAAGTCTCCTACAGGTTTTGGAGATTTCAAGATTTCCTGGCTTATCGTTTGACACCATTTTTGGTTTGAGACAGTTATCTCAGTTGTTTTAGATGTTGCCTTAGTAACATCAAAACCGGATTCGAACTCACACCAGGTCCCTACTTCAGAGAACACGAACCTTTTAGTGTGCATCAAATGGCCTCATCAGTTCTACAAGTCCTACCAGGTATCAACACTTTCTATCAACCGGTAGTGCGTTAATTTTGACACTGAACCATCGCCTGGCTAAATACAATTTGATTTTAAATTTTAAGGCTACCTCAAAGTGCCAATATCTCCAAAGACCATAAGTGTCTGTTAAAAAAAAATATTTGATCTTCCTCTTGAAGAAGGTCTACGATCTCCATGGTATGATCATTTTTAGGTATATAAACATGATAATCAGGGTGATCTGACAGTCAATTTTTCATTGTTACCTATATATTTGCTTGAAAAACCTTTGAATCAAGGGTAATTTTGGCAGACGTTAGCGGTTAAATTAATCGTGATTCGTTTAGGTTGAAGTCGCTTAATTGCGTCCATTGTGGACAAATACTTTAACAGCAACTAACAAAAAGCAACTTTTTGGTGCAGGTTAGTAATAACCAGTTCTCTTGGGCCATATTTCCATATTTTCGAAGATGCTGATGATAGGGAATTACGCAGGATCATTTGCTCGTGGAAACCCGTCCTTGATTAGGCGGAAACATGCGTAAGATCTCAAAGCAGCTAAATATCCTAGGATTGCATTCACACAATCATCGTTCAGTCTTTCTTGGAAAGTTACAACACGTGAGAAGTAGCTATCCTTCGGGGTAAAAATTTCATAAAAACAATACTTCTCAGCACGTTAAATTGGAAATGTTTTTATCGGCCAAGTCGATACTTTAGATTGTACGAAGCATCGAATTAGACTAACTTAAATACAATCAGTGGCGTACTTTAGCAGTCTGAAAAGTACTCTATAATTTTATCAATCTCATCAAATCCTTTTGCTCTCCGAGTCTTCGTTACGCAATGCCATAAGCCAATGTGTATCGTAAAGAAACAGCATTGCTTTTGATGGAGTGGATAAAAGTGTTCAGCTTGATACCTAACTTTACCGGAAGTAGTGTGTTATCTAATTACTACTTTAAAATGTAGGCTTAAATATGCGTTCAACGAACTAGGGACTGCCTTGTGTCGCTGCTTTCCCCTTCATATTCATTGACTTGTAACGCCCAACGAACAAAATCGTTTCTCAAGGCTCCCACTACACAGCCGTAATAAAACCTAAGTTTGATGTTTCTGCATTAGTAGCATCAAA